CTCGGGTAGTCAATTTCTCTCGAGATCAAGGTACTTATCAAACCTTTTCTAATATGCTTCTCGAATCTAAATTTATCACCTACTGATATCATTAGCATATTACTACTATCATATCACAATATCTTTTTTAAGTACGATCAAAGGAATATTTCGAGGAACCAAACCTCTAGGAAAAATTTCCATCACCCTGCAATGAGGAAAATCACCTCAGGGCTGCCTTCAATGAGGAAAACGTACTCGAGGCACAAATTGGGAAAACCCTAGGGGCAAGGAACTTGAGGGATCATCCTAACATCCTCTGCTAGACTGATATTCTTCACGAGCATCTTACACTACTTGTCATTATTATATAATATTGCATCTCGATGATCCAAACACTCGCGGTCCACCGCGCAAACAAGGATACTCGCGGACCACCACGCAAACAAGGACACTCGCGGTCCACCGCGCAAACAAGGACACTCGCGGACCACCGTGCAAACAAAGATACTCGCGGACCACCGCGCAAACAAGGACACTGGCGGTCCACCGCACAATTTTTACAAGGACACTTGCGGTCCACCGTGCAAACAAGGACACTCGCGGTCCACTGCGCAAACAAGGAACTCTCTAACAATAAGACCTCATCAAGGCATTCTATTCTCCTTATCTTGTATAGGTGACACCTGAGAACGAAAGAGTTAAGGAACTGGGGCAACACCATGAAACTCGAGAAGACATCAACATTCGTAGCAACCCATATTCTTCTCATCAAGTCTCGAGAATTTGGCTTGCTAGGGGCACTTGACGTGTCATAAATTAACACTAGGCCTATTGGGCCTAGGATTAGGTTTTACTTGGAGATTAAGCCCACCGCCTAAACCTATTCCGCTAGAGTTTCAGGAAACAAGTAACACCACCTCTATATAAAGAGGTGGTCCCTCTCTCATAATTCGTATCTTCTCTACCTTCTACACACGAAACACATACTTCTCTCTCTCTATTCTATATTCTCTTATTGACTTAAGCATCGGAGAGTCTACCCTCGGGAGACACTCGAGACTTTGTCTTGCAGGTTTTAGGCCGTTCGCCGCCACCTAGATCATTGTCGCGCCCGTCCTGAGCACCTTGCAGATTCCATGCCTCGTCATGTACATTAGTTAGATTTGTTTTGCTGCTATGATGGAATTAGATTTTCCACTGCATTTTCCAATCTGGGATTTTCCGTCCTTTTTATTTGAACAAAAATTTGATTTATTGAAGTAAGCTTGTGATCTTTTTCTTGGTGCTACTGCTTGCGTTTGAAACCTACTCTTTGTAGGTGAATATAAGCTGTCATAGGGATAAAAAAAGATCTGTACAAGAGGATTGTAGTATGTCCGGATGAGCATAACTGATGTTATTGGCAATGGAAGGAGAAGGGTTCTTTATCGGCTTCTATGAATAGCAATGGATTCACCCTTCTTCTCTTGGATTAGAAGAACGAAAAAAAGCTCATGAGAGTAGCTCCATGCAATAAGTACCACTTAGTAAACAAAAGAATCAATCTTGAACTCCACCTGGCTTTTGGAAAGAAAACATTATCCTTGCATGCGCCTCTTTTGTGTGCTTTAGTCATGCTGCCGCTGAACGTGAGAGCCTTCTCCGTTTAAAGCTGGTGCTTAAAGAGGTCAAAGCTAAAGCGGCTAAAGGGAGACCTTGACACATGGGGCTAAAAAAGAGTGTAAAGAAGTGACTTGCAACATATGGTCTTTGATCCAACCTGCCCTTATTCAGTTAAATTGAGATAAGGAAATGTATTGCTATGTTGGATTTATCTAGACTCTTGATAATTCTGAGCTTTGGATTTGAGTTCTTTCAGACATTTCTTGATATTTTTTAATCAAGCCAAATTTCAAATGTCACTTAGTTCTTAAGATTACTCAGTTCCAAAAAAATAATAATAATAAAAAACAAAAAAAATATGAAAGCAAAAACCATTTGAGAAAATTTTCTAAAATACACATGATTGATAAAAATCTACGAAAAAATAATTCCCCAGTCTATCAACTAATAACAAACGCAAAAACCAATGCAAGCATACAAACAAAAGGATTTGGATTAAATCACGAAAGATATTTTTGTTTTAGACGTCAACAAAAAAACCAAAAAAATTAGCTTGAAAGAAATATTGAAAATCCTCACAAACCATTTTGAAGAAGCAAAATAAAAATCCAAAAAAAAAAAGAAAAAAAAAAGAGAAGAGAATATATAAAAATATTTTAATTCTCATTGTGTGAGAATGAAGCCTAAACATGGCAAAAATATGCCACGCAGGTATTTATAACCATGTATCGCAACCCTTGTGCTAAAAGGGTTTCCGACAATTGGGCAGGATAGGGATGTGTTCAAAATTCAAATCAAACTTGTTCGAGACTTTTCAAAAGATATTAGATTTGATTAATAATGAACCAGTCCCTTCGGGGACATCCGAAAAAAGAAGAATGAATCAACAATTTATTAACCAGATTAAATTTGATTGTATCTTTTTCGTATTAACTTATGTTTATGATTAGTTTGTATATTTTCCATAAAATATGGTACCGCGTAGAGTGAGAAGAAAGTTTTTCTTTTTTTCTAGAAATTAAAGAGGCAAAAATTAAGATAGGATTAGATTTATTTTCAATTAAGCAGATTATTGGGCTCATAGCCATTTCTTTGCAAGAATCTTGTAAAGCATTTTTTCCATCATTTGATTGGTTGTTCTGATGGACTTCTTCAATTCAGTATTCTCCCATAAGATCCATTTTCGTCATTGTCAGATCAAAATCCCGATGTAACTCCAACTTCCTCTTCAAAATCGAATTTGAATTCAGATTCAAAGTCCGCTCAATCTCCAAATATTCCCACCCATTCCAAACTCCTGAACAACGTTTGGTTCATCCAGTTTGAAGACCGTCATGACGATATCAGGGTTAGTTATCGGGAACTACCGCCGGGATCTCGAGTAATTCAGTTCCCGGTTGAGAAAGGAAACGACCATTATCCGTGAAGCCACGGTTTGAATCAAGGGCCGCCGTTGCTCAAACTTCACTTGGATCTAGCCCTTCTTCGACATCAGTTCGGATATGATTATCGCCGGAATAATTCAAAGTCAACTGGAAGTATTTCAGTCCATATAATTTTTTTTTACAATAAGTTAAGGTAAATTAGAGTAAGGTAATTTTGAATAAATAGTAAATATACAGTAATAAATATTTTACCATTTAAATTAACATAAATAGTTAATATAAAATGCTAACTATTTTACTGTTAAAAATTTACCACAAAATCTAATAGTATTCTAATTGAGTGACACGTGTCCCAGAAAAAAATGTTATTAAAATATAAAATACTAACTATTTTACTATTAAAAATTTACCACGAAATGCTATTAGTATCATAATTCTTACAACTTCTCCAATGAAGAAATTATTTAAAATCGCAGTTGTAGAAATTATTGAGAGAACATAATATTTTATAAGATGTAATATACATGCTAGCATAAAATGCCAAAGTAGTGCTATTATAGTATATAGTGTTGGATGAAAATATATGTATTGATTAAAGGGTATGGATCGTCCAAGAAAAATATTAACCATTCTTTTAAGAATGGGTCTAATTTAGGAAAGGTTCAAGAAATTTCGCTACACCTTGTATGTGAAGATAGTTTCTGGATGTTGCAAAATAAGGTGCTCTGTATATTGGATAAATCTTTTAAGTCGTGGGTTGAGATAGTTACATGTTTGAACGGAGGTAACCATCCTTGGAAGGAAATGTTGAATTTCAGTTTTTATGTTTGCCAATTCCAAGTTTGGCAACCTAATGCCAGGAATATTGTTTTTTTTAGTTACAATAGAGGGGGCCGAATACTTAGAGTCTTACATTTCGGGGGTATGAGACCCCTATTATATCATATTGTAGCCATGGCCTAACGCCTGACGGCGATACATCAAACCTCTGTAATCCAACTAGACTAAGGGTAGCTAGGGAGGCCAATTAATCAGCTACGAAATTAGTTTCACGAAACACATAATCAAGCTCCACAGTCCAATCCCGATGTAGTAGTTCCCGAATCCCGTATACAATCCCCGTATGGACTACAAAAATGTCAGCATTCCTTTTCACCATAAGTAAAATGCTTGAATTATCCACTTCCGCCTTCACCTTATATCCAAGATCCCATGCTAACTGCAAGGCTTGAAACAGACCCCAAAGTTCCGAACCTGTGATGATACAAAATCCTACCTTCATCATGAACCCGCCTAGCCATCTACCATGGCAATCTCGTATAACTCCACCAGTACATCCCACCCTATTGTACATATTAAAACTGCCATCGGAATTTATCTTTACCCAGTCAACCGACGGTGGGAACCCATCGAATCATTCTTTCCTTCCTTCCCCTACAAACTCTTCTCATTGTTTTTTCATGAATAGAAGTCTGTTGTATACCCCCAACAAACTTTCCAATCTCCTCCACTCTCTTCGCATCACTTCCATCAACACTTTCAAAAGTCCGTCGATTTCTCCAGCTCCATATTCCCCAAGCTGTAACTCTGAAAAAACAATCCCAGTCTTCAACAAAACCTTTAGATTTTCTGTTTAAGTTATCCCAGTCTTATATTCAACAATGCCAGGAATATTGTTGAATGGTTTGGTGATGGTATGGTTATTTTAAGAAATATTGTTGAGTTTTGGCTTGATTTGAATTCCTAGTTTCAGAGCCTTATGTTGGGACTCATTCTTGGAAACTAACGTAGTTTGATCTACAAAGAAATGATGGTTAGCTCACAATGTAAGATGAAGCTAAGTAACTGATCCTTCCTGCTTGGATATGAACCATTATAATGTATGAAAAACTACACCGACTAATTATTGGAGTCCATCAATTTCGTGCAAATTTTGTGTGATACATTGATCTTCAATTGCAAGTCATATTAATTCTCTCTTTTACAAACACAATTACTACAATCTTTATCATTTTCTGAACTCATATTTTAAGAAAATCTGCGTAATGTGCGGGGATAATTCTAATAAATGTTAAAAGGTCAATTATTGTCGTACAAAAAATTCGGGTACAAAGTCTTAATGGGGCGGGAAGAAGAAAGAAATAAACAAATCTAACCTAAAAAGGTACACAATGACGAAATGTACAAAAATGCACCAAATACTTAAGTGTTTGTGACAATTTCTTTTTTCCTTTTTGGGCATATTGTTCATGTAAGCCATCACCTTTTATATAGGCAAACAATGGGTGATAAATATATATACACCTAGTGATCAAGTGGCATCCACTCTAATTCTAGTTCTATTTCCCCAGATTCTACATTTTGGAGCTTCAATGATACAGCTTGCTTCACCTTTCCATCGATTATGTTTACAGTGCTATCTTCAATCAACGCATTGTCGTGCGACTTCAACCATTTCCCAATCTGCATATTCTGAAACATGCCAGCATCCCCAAACGCCATTGCAGAGGTTATCATTGGCTGGATATCAATCTCGGCTTCCCCCATTATGTCGTCAGCAGAGAAAGTGTCATGATCGTAGACTTCCTGCAACGGAATCCACGACCAAAATCAAAAGCCAAATATATGAAGAAGGAAAACAAGATGTCAACAACACATAAGTTCATTTCAGAATTCCTCTTAATAGCCAAATACTACCTATATACTACCTCCATCCCACAAAAATAGTCCACATTAAATTTTCAAATTTGTACTAAAAAAAGTACAAAACTCAAAACTCAATGTGGACTATTTTTTTGAGACGGAGGGAGTATGATTCATGATTACCAAATTTTGTTTGTTCAATTATTTTTCACCTGGATTGTTTGTTATAAAGAAGGGTTTCATGAAATCAAATCAGTTGAAACATTGCAACTTGCTTCAACATGAGTGATCATGTTAGAACTCCACCTTTTCTTTATTGACATTCTTCGTTTTCAAAAGTAAATCATGATCATCGACATATGAGAAATGCAAAGAACAAAAGGCAGGGCCAGAATCAGCCTCTCACTATAAGGGCACCTACACTGGGATCAGGTTTTGATCTTCTAGTATTGTTTTGATCTAAGTTACACAAATAAGTACCATATGTAGCTATCATATTGAAAAGAAACCATGACTGCCAACAGTGTAACATTCTCCTCCAAACTCCTTTATGCACTTTATTCCACAACCTTGTTGAGAAAGCCAATCTTGCATTATATGGTTGACAAATAACTACCCATACATCATTAACTAATTAAAAATAACTACCCACAAATCATCAAAGAGATCTGACGCAAAATAACTAATTAAACATAATTTATTATATAAGAATTGTTCGCATACTTGGATATATCTACTGAATTCCAAAGCTTTGAAACAGACAAACGCAAATGACCGAAAAGTCAAACAAACAAACATTATGTAGGACTTCCTTTTTTTTTGTCAAAACATTATGTAGGGTTTCAATTCCATAACGAAAAATATCAAGAAATTAGGTAATAAAATAATTATACATGGACATATGGTCCATTAAGAAATAGAAATTCAGAGATTCTGAAAACAATGGAAAGTTCAGTACATAGCATGGAGACATGCTGTTCCGAAAATTCCAATCAGCCAAACTCCTCATTTGATCACCAGAACAGCATCAAGCTTTATGTGTAAAGAAGCTGTTGTAATTAAAGTGAAGATAATTTCATAGAATTATGTCCTGAAGGATTACCCCATTCCCACCGTTTAGGTTTATATTCACATCATCCATTCTCATAATCAGCTGTCAACATTTAACTTAATTTTCACACAAATATTTTCCTATCTTGCACGGTAAGAATGTTACAGTAACTGGGATTGGAGTCAGAGAGTACTACAAATTTTATCATTTAGAAAAAGCATGTCTCTTAGGCCATCAGGCCTCGTTTGACATCCACGTAAATGACGACTCAAGATGACCCTCCAGGCCTCCCCTTATGACTCCTTGACACTGAGGAACAAGTACACAAGAGTCTCTTGCCCAGTTTAAAAACTAATAAAATTATAGGGAATATAAGTTTGTCTGTAAAATGAAAAGAGTATCTAATACGTTTTAATCATCACTACAATAGGTGCGATAGGGACAGGGCCAACGGAGAGAAGAAACATGGAAAAAGGAAAAGAGTTTGAAGTATCTGGTTATCCCCCTAACCAGCTGTGTATCCAGCCTTTCAAGAAGAAACTGGACTCAATGAAAGAATCAAATACACTCCCTAAACATTCAGTGACCTTAGTAAACTTTAGGTTACCTCAAGACAAATATCTAATGAACTGAGTCAGGTCATATGGTCATCAAACGAGTTTCTTACTAATGAAACTATTTATGAGCTATCCATCAAAGTAACCAACACATTTGACTTCATTTGGGATGAATTGGATGCGCAACGACACACAAGTATGGCTTCACAAATTTCAGAGTACAGAACTAAGAGGAGTCGGAGGAAGAATTATACTGTAAATTATATAAGCTATTATCAAGTATATTTGAAGGAAAAAGCTAAACAATGAACATTCCAGAATCTGGAACTGTCTCAATGACTTGAAAGATAAAATTGCATGATGAAACGTGAAAGTCAAAGCCATAAAATTCTTACCAGCTTTAATGCTCCAAAGTGTTCAGGAACAGATAGCATGAGATCCTCATCCCAAACAGGGTTCAAATTACTCTTCACCACAGTAGTTTGAGCCTTCTATTAAACCAAAGACATAATTGTAAGGGGAAAACGAAAAATAGCATTACCATATGCATCATAAAAATACTCTCATTTACATTAGAAGAAAGAAGGTTTCAAAGCCGGAAACGGAAAATAGATTAAATTATCAGATAATAAGCAAATTGGCAAAACATCCAATGCAATCTGAATTAAGTTATGCTGAATTTGTTCCCTGTTTCTTTTTACAAAAACATTTACTGAAATTGGTTATTGGCACCACTGTAAAAGGGTGGAAAACAAAATAATATAATGTTAACTGCAATTCAACATTCGTCCACTCCAACAAAGACATCTGAAAATTATTGCATATCTTATAGGAGAAAAAGTGGAAAGGACAAAAGAGTTCAAGATATTCTGGCAAATACAAAGCAGCCCTGAAATGTCTTAAATAACAAAGACTCGGAGAGGAACTAACCTGTTGCCCCAATGTCAGGACAACATATGGATCACTCGACAGCATATCTCGGACAGCTAAATTTGTTCCTTTAAGTACCTTGATCTTCAACATTCCAATGAACTCCACCATACCTTCCTGTTGCAAAATCAATAGAGGCCACTCATTACTGGAAAAACCAAATACCACCACAAACTCAGAAGCATGTTGGTCTGTTCACAGGTTCGTAACCCAGACTAACCTTTGAGGTTAAACAAACTAATACAATCTGCATTTCTAGAAGCAACAAAGAAAACCCAAAAAACCATCATTCTGAACTCTTATGGGAAGCACTGAAGATCATTTGTGTGAGTGATCCTTGAGGATAGAGTAGTCTAAATTGTAATAATATATGTTTTCATAAACACTAATCATCAATGATACAGCAAAGCTTCTAAGAGTAACTCACATCTTTCTCGCAAAGTATTTGTAGCACTTTAATGAGCCACTAGCATCATCAAATTCTATCAAATTACTACTGGATAAGCGTAAATTTCTTTGTGATGGCTATCATATTCCATAACTTTCCTAATCTTTTTTTATCAGTAATACCTCTCCTGAACATGTACCAAATGCCAGTCCTTAGTAAATATAAAACGCGCTGGCTCTCTTTTTGAAACAAATAAAACGGAAATTCTCTCAATGATTTTGACTATTTAGGTCTTCTCAGCAAAAAATAGAAAACCTCTACTTTAAGGAAATAGATGTTGTCACTGTGTCAGCTTCAACAATTTTGCTTCAAACATTGTTTTAGTAGGAAGGGTCTTCAGTAATCTTTTCTTTTTAACCTCGAATGGGGGGAAATATTAAAAGTTCCATATGGTACTTCATCAGCACCAAAGTTGACAGAATGGGTGTTTGCTTTCACTCGTGTTTTCCTCATATGAGATAAAACATATCTAAAGGTCTTCATTATTTTGAAAATTCTAATACAAGAAAAAAGAAAAAAAAAAAAAGAAGAAGAAATTTAGGTTGCATTACAATCACAAAAATAATGTAAGTAACAATAACTGAAACACAATCCTAAAAACCGTATTGACATGATTTACTTTTGAAAATATAATCATTGAGCGACTCAAAATTACAATATATAGAAGCCCATGGGGTTCCACCTCAAAACCAATTGGCTATAAGGAGAGTAGCCCATGGTGCTTATAAACTGATACAAAGTGTCTCTAGACACCAATGTGGGACAAACATAACTTGGGATTTCATCACAATACAAAGTTTGTTTCGTTCAATTCAAATTAAAGCGTAATGTTGCACTTGAATGCCTCATACATTAAAACAAAAGATTTTTGCTTCAACCAAGGGGGATGAAAGACTCTTTACAATACAATTTATAAGCAGTACCTTTTACAACAGAATTTATAAGCATACAAGGATCAATCTCTAAGCACCACGCTGTCAATTTTATTTCCCCCATTAGAACTAGAGAAAAGTCATGATTTGTTTTAAATACAACCTTGGAAGGAACATGAGCAGAAATCTAAGACTAAGGATGGGTATCTTTTTATCATCTATTTATCATTTAAAGATTGCAGCAGGTCAGTATTGCTTCAACAGACTTGCTGATGTTTCCATGATTCATTTATTCTTTAATATAGCATAAAAGGGTCTTTCAACAATGATAACTCATCAAGACCTTATTATTGAAGAAGGTTCTATGAGCTATTGTCAGTAATTAATCAATCAACTAAAGGGGAAAAAATAAAAATCTTACAGATGCCTGGGACGAACTTGCGCTTCTGAAATTGGCCATAATCTTTCTTGAAAGGTTTGTTTGGAGAGATTGCGACTTTTTTGGAGCTGACAAGATTCTCAAGCTAGGTTTGAGAAATTCCTGGCGTTCATACTTCGACCTATTATACAAACATATTGCCAAACACATATGACGCAATGATGAGCAAATAATTTGTTTTCCCTTATCTTATTAAACCCAAAATTGAAGAGCTCGAAAAGAAAACATAAAGTTCCAACTAAAAAGATAGAATAAATTGACAGTCTAGGTTATGAAACCATTGAATAGAAAGAAAATGTCTCACATTAGCATCTAACAATGTGGTTTCCTTTAACAAGTATGACAACAAAGAGAAGTCTTTCTATTTTCCCAACCTGATAAATTTTGAACGCACATCGTGGCTAGAATCTGGTCCAGGCTTTGTGACTCCCTCAGGAATATAAGCTTCATAAATTGAATTCGCAGAGGCATTTCCGCCAACCTCCATCATTGCATCAATTTCTTCGTCAGACCATTCATCTAATGTAACAGATAAAACCTGTGCATGTTACAACCAAGATAGAACAGAAGTAAGAAAATTTTGGAAGAAATGCAGCAAGTCAAGTTCATGCTTGGAAAGAATGATCCCGAGGAAAAGAATGTAATGGGCCAGGCTGGGCTATGTCACAGCAGCTCATGAAGAGGTATGACTTGACAACAACCAGTCAAATTACCAATGCCAAGTTGTGACAGCAGAGTGTCCTCAAAAAGTGTAAATGTTGGGAGACATTCACTTAAGTGCCAAATTCCAAATAAAAACAACTGGTAAGGGTAACAGATTAGAAGTCTTGAAGAACCTATGTTTAGGTAACTTGAAAATTAAACTGTATCAATCCATAAGGAGTTAGCCTACGATCTTCGTACAGTTGAAAAACCCAAAAGCAAGTTAAACCTACAAACAATAAAGGGGGAAAAAGAAACAGGGTTATCGATTTGGCGTTTTCTGCACCTACATCTGTTCACTGTATCAAAGTCCAGCACAGGAAATCAAAAAACCAAGCTTGAGGGTGCAACGATCTGTTCAATTAACTTGGTCATATGGGCTTTCAACTATAGGAAGATATATAGGAAATTACTGAATGGAAACTATTTTTACTGTTCAGGTTGGCAAATTAGCATTCTACAGAAAAAATAAAAAACAAAACAACCCCCTCCCCCCTCTCTCTCTCTTCCTCTCTCTCTCTCTCTCGCTCTTTCATTTGAAACACTGGGACAATTAGCAAAGACCATTAACCTGGAAAGCTCTCTTTCCCTCTGTCATCAGGAATGCGAGAAGATATGATTGGGGAAATAGCTGACACTTAGTCAAACTGATCTATTGGTGGACCGATTAAGAGGTCAAAATGGAGCAAACTTACCTTCGAAACATGTGTGCCAAGGCTTCTGTGCACACCGCAGCACTTCAAGCATATGAAAACTCCAATATTGGCTGACCTATAAAGACAGTCAAATTGGAATTGTAAAAACCTTCAAAGCATAAAAGGAAAACTGAAGTCATGTAATGTATAGAACCACAGCACAGCAAATTAACCAACATTCAAATGCAGCATGCATGCTTGCCTAAATTAAGTCGCTATACTCTTTCTGGAAAGCCCATACCTGGTTGAAAGCTCCTAAATTTGTATGCAAAAACAGACCCGCTTTATTCCCCAATTTTAACCACCTACAACTAGACAGTACATAAATTACTGGTCAAAATTTAGAGCACAAAACTTCAGGAATCCCACCGCACTCCCCCACCCCCCCACCGCAAAATCTCGCCATATCCACCAAAGAACAATACTGGGGTAAAGAAGGTAAGAAGATGAAAGCAATCCTTTAAATTCAGGCGGGATCCTTCCAACATCCAAAAAGCAATCATTTACTGTCTAAACTTAAGAAACATTATATCCATTTCATTAACGCCATTCACAGCTTCCACGTTAAATATAATAAAGAAATCAGAATTTTCACGACAGGGCTGGTAAATTAAGAATAGCCTCTCTTCTTCTCTGTGAATTGCAATTTGCCTCATGAAGTCATGGAAGTTGTTTTCCTGATCTGGACGTAATAGACAACCCAATAATCATTGCAAACTCTTTGTTGATAACAGTCACAAGCTCAAAGCAACGACAGGTCAGCAGACAGATATAGCAATTTCATTAGAATAAGGGAACTGTAACTGCAGCAGTGGAAGCAGTTGAACGCTCATGAGGATTGAGGGGTTTAATTGTACAATCAGATGTAATAACTTCCCTTCATTTTTTGCTTTTCAATGTGTTGTACAAGGTACTGTGTGATGTTTCACACATTGACGTAATTCTTTGCCATGAGTCTTAAAAATGAGAACTTCGTATTGATAATACAGTCGTTATTGTCTCAGTAACTTTGTCTGCATTACAAATCTAAATGAAAATATAATACCTTCCATGCAATTTTATTTTTTTTTTCCACAAAGGACTTTGTAAATGGAGTATTGAATTCTTAAATCAGGCATTCATATTCCACAATCACACAAAATATAGAATAGCATGTATACAGCAAAATCTCGACAAAGGATCCATTCTCAAACGATTGAATTTGTACATAAAACTGATGAAAATTTCATTGAAAACAAGGGTGTTGTCTGTTTGGAGCTGTAAGGATAGTTGGGGAGAGGATGTCAATGGGTTTGTGTGAGAGATACATTTGACTACATGATCTTTTCAAAGTTTCTTTACTTTAATCCAACATTATTGCATATTACACCAAAATGGAAGAGAAATTGTTGATAAAGAAATATTCAAGATCCAAATAGCCTGTAAGAAGAACCATTAAAAAATTCTCTTGAACTATCATATTCTGGCACATGAATTCAATAAAGGAGAGCAAGAATGGAGTATCAAACCAGAAGGAAAATCAAAGTAGAAACACTTAATAACTAAAGAGGAAAAACAGATAGAACGAGAGACTGCTACATTTAGAAAACTCGTAAAAAAAAACCAGATGAGCTGCAAGTACTTACGCCCATTTAGGATCCGGTGCACTACAGTCTGCACAAGTACGGTTATCCTTTTGAAGCAAAAGCTCTTTTAACCTTCCTTTACCTGTATGGTACGGAAATGAAACACAACATCTCAGCAAAAATTCCTCCAGAAAAGGAGAAAATGAGCCCAAAACCAACAAAAATCAAACACATCAATTGATCACATTTTTCTATTAGATGACAGTAAGATAAACATTGAAACTTTAGATCGCGGCAGCATAGGATACTGGTATAGAGAAGAATTGTCAGCAAAACAAAAACTGCCACGAGAATACCATAAACAGATTTCAGTTCTTGAGGATAAAGACTTTCAAACATTAAAAAGTTCAAATATCTAAAAGTTGATTTTTGTAATGTGATTCAACAGGTTTAAATTTAGTGAGTTTTACAAAGTTCTAACCACCCCTCCCCGCCCCCCCCTCCCCCTCCCAAAGAAAAAAAAAAAGGAAAAAGAAAACCAAACGTAATACAACCTCTAAACCAAGAATTCTGATCATTGAAAAAGTTTGTTAACTTCTTACATCAGCAAAGCAAACGCAAACAACGAAAAGTTCAAATGACAAACGTGCAACCTACTTCAACCAAGTTTTGGCCATTTTCAATATGCTAGGTCATCATATCTAAAGGCGGCAATAGCGCCGGGAAAATCAATTCATAAATAAAATGCAGGTTACATGACGTAAACTTTTTTCACTATGATCTGGAATCCTGCTGCCTGTGTCCACGTTTCTTTCATAAATGTTTAGGTTTTCCCAACTGAGAGAAAAATAACAGCTCACTCAGCATGCCAGTAGATACTAAAATGGTTATCTCATACGTCTATGCACACATACTACAACAAAAAATCATCCCATAAACAGCAAAATAAAAAAGTGGTAATCTTGCTCTTCTAAGTAAACGAACCATACCTGAAGATGGCCTCCCAAGTGCAGAATGATTACTCATTGCTCTTCTAACACCCCACTCTCATAAACCAAAAGTGGTCCTTATCAACAACCTAAGATTAACAAAAAAGTCTCCGGGGAATTACATACTTGTAATTTGGACAGAGTCTAATCATATTCAAACAAAACAATAAAAGCAACTTTTTCCAAAAATTCATGTATAAATCAGCAAATCCCAGTGAAAAGAAACCCAAACAAGAAAATTCTTGAGCTAAGAGTTCGCAAACATAATTAAGACTGATCATCACAATTGAAGAAGAAACCATTTCAAATATATCTCTATCCAGATCATGTAAGCGGCCTATACAATAAAGATACATACAAATTACATGAGAAATTCAAAAAAAATCCTTTAAACGAGAAAGGGCCGGTTATAGATCATTGAAGAACATAACTGTAATGAATGGAAATGCAAAAATGTTGGATAAGAATCATAAGATGACAAGGAATAAGGAATATATGCAACCAAAAGAATCCCATTTCAATAATGAAAGATCTGAACAAAAAAAGATAAGAACTTTGAGGAATATCACCTGAAAATGTCTGCCACTCACAAATTCAGACAGTGTCAAGAGAGAGAGAAGGTGGAGAGAGAGAGATGGGAATGGAAATAAGGAGGCAAAAGTTCACTAGAAACGAGGAAAGGCAGTTTATATTGTTTTGATTTTGATGATCAAACCATAACAACTGTCTGTATTGCTATTTTTGATGGTTGATGGGACCTCGGGAGAATATGCACTTAGAAAATTACCATTTCCAAAAACATTGAAAAGTACTTTTTTTTATTAATATACTTCCTCTCGTTCTTAATATAATGCATTTTAATTTGTTTTAAATCTAATACACATTTTTAATTTATAAAAAAACCTTAAAAATATATCTTTCTATTATAAAATATATGTAAACTAAGAAAACAATTATGAGAGAGAAAAAGAGGATTCATGTGTATCTTAATAGAGACCGGCTTCTATTTATAGGCAAGTAGATACAGATATAAGATCAATGAATATGAGTTATAACTAAATATTATCTCTATACATGGAATCCTAATATAACTCTTCTATCTTATGAACATCCACATTATTAATATATTTATAACACTCTCCCTTGAATGCCCGTTTCTTGGGATAATGACTCGTTAAAACCTTTACTAGAAAAAACTCAGTGGGATAAAAATCTAATAAAGGAAAAAGAGTACATTTCCAGAAATAACACTGCCTCGTTAAAAACTTGTTAGGAAAACCCATTGGGACAAAACCTCGATCAAAGGAAAAAGAGTACAACGTGGGGCTACTCCCCCTGTTGAGTACGTCACTTGTAATCTTCTCGCCATATGTCAATATGTTGACCAGGTTCATCATTGTTGAGGTCAATAATGGACGGATCACTTCTATTTCTCTGCAGACGATCATCTTCATATTCTGGTGTAATCTTGAGTACTTTATAACAACAGAGATCTATAATAAAAATACCAAGAAGGTATTTATATATACAGTCCTCTAATGCCTTGGGTAATAGACCGATACTTATAAGTATTACAATATGGTACTTCAGGACCAAATCAGTTTACATTTTATTATTCGAATATAAAAAGGATTTTATGCACATCAAACCATAGTCTAGTGCGCTTAACGGGTGTTAAATGTATATAAACTTTTGCCAAACTATTATGACCGAGATTCTACCCAAAATCTTTCATTATTCTTGCTTCGGACAAGTAGCAACCTTTTCAACTTAACTATCTTTTGAACTTCCTTTTGAATTTTTAATAACCGTAATAAACTTTTCAGGAGTTTTAATAATATTCAGACTATTCAAATTTTGTAACGAGTTATAATAATATTTAGCCTTCTCAATCTCTCTAAAAGTCTCGTTGCTACCAAATAGCTTTGACACATATAATATATGAAAATTTTATATCAATATCTCTAAATAACATGATCAGAAAACACATAGAAAACACAAATAATCACCTTACAGATAAATATAACATATCTGGATAAAACATATAAAATTAACTGCATAAATGGTAATAACCAAAATGTTCAAAAAAATATGCACTTAAATATTTGCTTAGACACATAAAGATACCATAACTTGCGCAAGTCTTTCATATTCATTTCTCGAGAATCGGAACCAGGTCCTTTATTAAATCTTTCAGGGATTTCACATAAATACTATTTCAAATGGCAAAGATCAAGTATTGTTTCAAGTGATCACTATATTCATTAGACGCATTTTATTTCTTCATTTGCTGCCAGATTTAGCAAATAACAGAAGAATGAATATTTTAATTCACCACAAGAGAATTTATCTCTAAATTATTAACATCCTGACTTTGAGAAAACTTTTACAATAAGTCGGTTGCTCAGTAATCGTTTGCACAATCATCCAACAACATTTAGCCAGTGTATTACTTTTCAAAACTCTTATTGTACAACACTCGTCATTAAGTGTGTATTTCGTCTTTTCATGTATTATGGCCAATAGTTTAATGTCTGTATCCACAACAGACTTTCATTTCATGATCCTCATTGTCATTTATTTTACTAACCACTGCAGCATAAACAAATTTCATGTCAATATTTTGTTGCTGATCGATTCCATCTTTCTTTAATAATGAGATCTCAACAATCATCTAAGTTCCCAAGTGCTATTCAAATTTAAAGGTTCTTATGAATTCTAATCACTCATATTTTCTATCCATAGATTTAAACATTGTCATTCACGAGGATTTTTATCGTTGAAATCAATAGTTTTAACACTCATCAAATGGATATTTAGCTAAAGAATAGTGGTAGATAGTCCTTCAGGGACACATTATCAAATTTTGAGTTTTAACAGTCTTTTATACATTTAGACATTCGGTCAGGTAAACATCTAGTCTTAAACATTATCTCTTGAACTTCAGGTTCATATCATGCAGGATCTGATGAGATAATGATCTTGTCCATTTTATTTATGAATCAACTGTTTTAACTTCTCCCCCTGATGTTGGGATAACTAACTCGCCAAAATGATGATTAACCAACCGAGCAGTTAATAATCTCCCTTTTGAGAGTAACTAACTCGTCAAACTAATATGATCAGTTCATGAAGTTGTTAATCTAACATCAATAATTTCAAAAATTAGAGATTGAGTATTTAACATATATTTGTAACCTCTTCTAGAGGCTCTATCTTTGTGTGCATTGTGGTGGAATAATTATAATATAAATCCCACATATAATATTTAAAGATGGATATGTATAGTTTCTGACCAAAAACCAAATATTGGGGAGAATATCTATAATGACCTGTTTGGTCTAATGCATATAATTGGTGCCTTTTGTGTTTCAATACTTCTCAATTATACATGAGGTAATCACTTTAATTGAACACATGCAATAAACGATTCTACTAGACCGTTTCATTATCGCTCTTATAATGTTCAACTTTTCATTCTGTATTGAGCCATACACTCACCACAATTGTCAAATCTAAATTCTTGTAAGAGCAGAAAATGAACATCTGCAAGTTACCAATTTAACTTCATAATTATGTTTCTGCAAACTTCAGGTTGCAAGTTAACGGGAACCATACATGTGGTTTTCTGATTGACACAAAAACATTTCCAGTCTCTAAATATAGAGTGAGTAGTTGCCCTGTCTGCCAGACATAATTCTTTGTCATCCATGGCCTTTAACAATAAAAATAAAAATAAATAAAACAATACCTCGTTAAAACCTCTATTAGGGAAAAAAACCCAATGGAAAAAAGACCTAATAAAAGAAAAAGAGTAAATCTTCATGATTAATTTATTCTTGGACATTCCAAAAATTAGATGCACCTTCTGGGTGACTACCAAAGAAATTTACAACATCTAGAGACACAAAATCAGTGCTACCACAAGCGCTAAACTGATCATTTTGACCATGGCCACGGCCTTGATTTTGTCCACCATTGTATTGCATAGTTGTCGTATTTACTTCAGGAAATGGAGCAGTCTCGGTTGGACGAGCCTCGTGGTTTTTTTTAGTAATAGTTCATTGTATTGTTAAGCAACCAGAAGAACAGATATCAATTCCGAATACTTTTTGAACCCCTTTTCACAATATTACTGCTGTAAGAGTATATTAGAGGTATGGAAAGTGGAGAAAGTCTTCTCCAGTATATCGTCATCACTTAGCTTTATTCCACACAATTTTAATTGAGAAACAATTCAGAACATTGTGGAATTACACTCAAAAACCGTTTTAAAATCTTGCAAATACAAGTGTATCCAATTATCAAGCACCCATGACAAATAATTTTTCCGAGAAATATCAACGGGAACAAACTCAAGATTCGTAAGATTATTAGCCATGGTGCTGCTATTGAAAACTCGGAGTCGTAGGAAAGAAACAAATCTCCGGAAATATTTTTAGTCAAAAAAAAAAACTAAATATTTACTGAAGACTTTAGGCTTTCAGAATTGATACACACTAACTTCAGACAGTGGTATTATAAAACTCTTTGGCTACAACTTCGTGCTGATAACGTATTATAAAATAAATATAAATTATGAAAAACTATTAGAAAGAAAGAGGATTCATGTGTATCTTATTGAATAAGGACTGACCTATATTTATAGGCAAGTAGATACAGAGATAAGATCAACAAATATGAGTTCTATCTAAATATTATCTCTATACATGGAATCCTAATATACCTCTTCTATCTTATGGACATCTACATTATTAATATATTTATAACACTTTCATATTAGTTGTGTTCCTTTGATTGTTATAAATAGTTTTAAGGTTTTTTTGTCAATTAAAATACGTAGTAAATGAAACTTATGACAAATCAAAATATTTTATATTAAGGAGCGGAGTGAGTATCTACTTATATTTTTTTTTAACGAAAAGGCATGTGGTTTTGTGATTTGCTTCGTCAGAAATAGTGCAACGTTCAAACTTCAAAGATCTTATATCACGTTTGAATCAGCGGATCATGGTTGTCTTTGGTTGATAATGTGTCAATTTGGGTGTACTTGTCTGCATGCTTTAGCCGGCATGGAATAAAGTAATCGAAAAATGTTCGTCTTCTTGTCTCAATATAATAATTGTGGTGTTTGTATTTTCATTCTAACATAGTAAGTGTTATTAATTAAGGTTTTAATTATGGAAGAACCAATATGTTAATCCCTGATTACATATGTTAGCGAAATTGAAAGATTTTGGCTGCCAAGGCTCCGTGTTCATTCATTTTATTTACCTTCATTTTTCATTATTTCCTGTCTTTAAATCGTGAGTCCTGATTATCATACTTCTTATTATTGACATACCAAGTTTTATAAAATTCACAGGATACGAAAAGGAGTAAATAAATATCACGAGGAACTACGTTGTAAATCACAACCGAGGCAAAAGATCGATTTCAGCTAGGACGGGGCTACAGATAGCAGTACAGTCTAACTTCTCCCCAGCGAAGTTAATCCTGTGTTTTATGAAACTTGTAAATCACCCAAGCATTCATCATCAAGACCAAAAAATTCAGCTATTTGCAACACCAACCATAAATCAAACAGTTACACTCTAGATATGATGCCTCTGGGATTGTTCTACACACACCTCGAACAAATCGGCAATACATTCGCAATGAGAAAACCCCAATAACTGAACAATTATTCCCCAAGAAGGGAATGTAAAACTATTAACAGCGTATTACTACTCATGATGCAGATAGAAGTCCCCAAAATATAACGCACGAACGTATCAAAGGAGACTGGAAGTTGCTTCCGTATCATCGCTTTTGATCATGCTGATGTATACAGAATACATTGTAAAAGTCCGATACAACTATGAACCAAAACAAAATGATATCTGGCCTAAGAGGAAGATGTTACCTCCCCTTGGGTGGAGGAATGATTTGGCCTCCGCATAAAATATCATCAATAGACTTCCACATGCCATTGTTTGTTCTTTTTGAGTTGTGAGAGCTTCTCATCCCAACTCTCCCCTCTTTGCTCGGCAACTCTCTTGAGAGTCTCTTGGATTCCGGGCATCATGCCCTTAAGCCCGCAGAAATAAATGTGTGCTCCGTTATCCAGGAGTTTGAAGATTTCATCACTGTATTCTTCAATTTTGTCCTGAACATACATTTTGCCTCCATTCTTATTCTTCTGCTCTCGGCTAAGAGCTAAGTCATATCTGAAATTATCTGGATAATCCTTGAGATAGTTAGAGAACTCATCATGATATAGTAGACTGTCGGCATTAGCCACCCCAAGGAAGAGCCAAGCAAGGCCACCAAACTTGAAAGTTGGGACAGATTCCATGAACATACGACGAAGGTAGCCTCTGTATGGAGCCACACCAGTGCCAGTTGCTATCATGATGTGAGTTGCATTTGGGTTATCTTCAGGCAGAAGCATAATCTTCCCAGAAGGACCTGCAAAATATTCGTGGAAACTAAGAAGGCGGTGGAAAACAATTTCAACATTAACAATACCTGTTAATTATCAAAACTAGAAAAAAGCCATCCATTTTCACACTTGTGGCAAGAGATTATCTTTAACTAGTATATGGATGTCAAAATACCAGACATTATTTAGTGAATTAGGACCGGCCTGTAACTAGTCTCTCAAACCCATCATAGCAAGTATCCGTAGGCTTATCATCAGTACCCAAATACTCATTTGCTGGAAAGGCAAAACGGAACAATTTGGCAGAGAAGTTTCAATTACGCCAACATACCTACCTTTTACTATGGAGTTCCTCTTAAGAAGTTTCAGCCAAACAAAATTCTTCAATAAGTAAATCAATTTTTTCCTATCCTCAGTGATCTGAATCAAACTCTGCTACCTTTCCATCCTACATGAGGTTCATCCCAAGAAAAGGACACACGCACATAATACAACTCTTCAATTTAAGTTTGTGAATAAGGGCACCGATGTGACAAACTAATAAACAAGAACGCTCCATTGATCAACTGTTATTGAAACGATTCAATTTCTTCACAGAGAGAAACTCAATCTTTCAAATCAAACTCAACTAGTTTTCTGAAAATCGGAAAACATTTTTGAGGTGGTTCGTGTAATTGCCACTTATAATACTCTTTAAAATGATTGTCCTACCTGTGATCTTAACTTTGTCCCCAGGCTTTGAATCACAAAGAAAGTTGCTGCATACACCCTTTTTAGTGGGATCTTCTTTTCCAGTCTCAGGGTCATAATACACAGCTCGTCGGACACAAAAACTTGCTGTTTTGCCATCAAAATTGTCACCATATCGAGTAGAAGCAATAGAGTATAGACGAACATTGTGGGGACTGCCTGGCTTCTTTGGATTTTCACCCTGCAAAAATAACAGAGAATCAAATCTCTACAACATAAACATAAGAGACAGGCCCGGGATAAGGTCGTTTCGAATTAAATGCTGACTTAATCTAGGTATTACTTTCACCTAAAGCTGTTCAGTGCTTGCCAAGTTTGAGGAATTGCTTATCATCATTCCATTTTTACAATTCAGAGTTAATGCAAGACCACTTCTTTTGTTTCTTCACTATAAACAGGTGGTAAAGAAATTGAGGCGACCCGTTCAAGTAAAACAAGTAACTCAAACTTGAAAAACAAAAGCCATGAACTAAAAAAGTTATTTTACATACTGAAGATACAAAAAATGCAAGTTATAATACTTACAGGAGGAATGATGCCATAACTTTGCCCTTCCCAGTAAGGCATTTTACCATCATGATCAATCACAATATGACAAGTTTCCCCCGGAGCTTTTGGTCCAACAAGCCTCTCCACTGAAACAATGGTTGCTGTATATGGCTCCTTCGGTTTGTACAAGTGCATGGGAGGTTCTTTCGCATCTTCGAGTGATAGCGGCGAAACTGCAACCTTGGGTATGCTTGTTTGTTGTACTGACATACAATGAATACGTTGACTTCTGAACTTATGTTTGCAGCTGAAGTCCAGAACAGGTATCCTTGATCCAGAAAAAAAATTAACATTGTTTGCCTGCAAAAGAATCAAATTAACTCCAATAGATCTTATTACTGATGTAACTGTAGTTAGATCACATTTGACACATCCATGGCCTAGAGACTAGATATTTGAACTGTCGAAATAAAATTATGCATGGTTGACCCAAAACCCCAAACATCTGCCATCCAAAAGAAAGGCACCAGTCTTACTTAATGGGGTCAACAAGAACAGTAACGTTATGAACATCCAAATATAATATGATATCAAATTTTCCACAAGGAACTTGCCAATTCAGCTACGGAACTTGCCAATTCAGCTACTAGAAAAAATCCACAAAAAACCAGAACCCAAAAGCTACTATGGTGAGAAAACTACCATGTTATGGCCATTACCGTCAGAAGACACATATCCACAGATATCAGGGCCCAAAACAGAGACTGAAAAGAATGTACAGGGTGCCTACTATTGGTTATACATTAACATGACTTTGTCTCCAAAATGTTTTATTTACTTGACTCTCTGGGGGAAAAAAAAGGTTTATATCTAGAACTTAAGATACTTTTCAGAGATTTTTAGAGCTATGTTATCTTTGTAATTTTCAGCTCATTATTTAGAGCACTCATGAAGGGAATCAACATGGCTTTCTCATTTTTCCTCATACCCTTAATGTTCTTGTTTAGCCCTACTCTCAAAAACAACCAATTTAAAACCTTGCTCAAAAACCCAAACATCAGAGGTTGCAAGTCAAAAGTCCCACGACAGTTGAAGCAAAATCACAACTCAGACCTTAATCGACATCCTATTGTGTTAAAAAGAATCTCCAAAAGGACCCGCAAAGTTCTGTTCTTGAATTTACTTCCCATTTGTTCAATACCAGGAATTCCGATCAAGAAGTAGTTGATTTACATCTCTGTAAATCTACCAAAAATATGTTAAGACAGATACCAGCACATCAAATATACTTATATATGAATTTTATAAAAATGAAGCCTAGGACACATGAAGAGTCCAAAAATCAACAAACGAGAAACCCATTCAGGAACAACAGTAAAGGTACAATTAGTCAACGATCCAAAACTTAATCTTGCCTTAAGAACAAAATTATAAAAAAAAAAAAGGTACAGAACAGTTCTCGAACATCAAAACAAAAAATCAATCGTACCCATTAAACAATTCTGTCCTTCAAATATATTCAACCCAATCAAAATTGAAAAACTGAAGCTAAAATGTTACTCAGAAAAAAAATGATAAAGACCTTCATCATCGACCTTCGCGAAGAAGGGTCACTAGCAATGGGATTCACCGTATAGATCATCTGCAAAATCAAGTAAAAAAAATAAAAATAAAAATTAATATATACCCGACAAAACAAATTCAGAGAATCTATACAATTGCAGAGAAATCCACCACAAGAAAATTGGTTTCAGATTGATCTTTCGATGTTATGAGAACAACCTGAGAAGTAGAAGAGTAAACTTGAGCCATCATTGAACCAAAAAATTTGTAGAAAACAGGAGAATGATTCCTCTATGATCTCTTTTGCTTAGTTCAGTAGAAAAGGAGAGAGTGATTTTAAAAAAGGAGACAACCTTTGGTTGGAGGGTTTTTTTTTTTTATAGGTTGTAATATTTAGCATTTGAGTCCTCATAGTTTATCGTCGTTGCAACAATGTGATCATTATTTTTTTTTGGATTGCTTGGCTCTAAGCGTAGTTGTAGGGTCAAACAATAAACATGTCACCTAATTATGCCCTTTCCTACACATGAACAAGAAGGCAATACATGTTTAAGCAAGATAGGCTCAATTTTCCATAATTTTGGTTACAAAAATATAATACCACTGTCTCATAAAATAGTCTACATTAATTTTTTAAAATTTTTTCTTAAAACAATACAAAATCTTAAAACTTAATATGGACTATTTTTTTTTTTGTAAACAGAGATAAATAGTACTTATTAGTTGTTTCGGGGAAGATTTGGATCAAATTTTAAATCTATCTAATCCCCCCATCCTTCCCATATTAATAATTTAATTTATAAAACAATTTTGACACAAATAATTAATTTGGTTTGTATTTTATACTACTATTTATGTCCCTCCAAAAAAAAATCCACGTACAGTTTTGAAATTTGTACTAAAAATAGTACAAAGTTGAAAACTTAATCTGGACTATTTTTTTTGAGAAAGAGAGAGTAATTAGGTAAAAATTCTTTGTTGAGAAATTTATTTAATGTTGTTGAATCGTTGATGTGATCCTTTGTAAATCGCAAAGGACAGAGCTTAACAGGGGAAGGTACAATCAAACTTTTTTTTAACTCGCGAAGGCCAGAGCTTAACAGGAGAAGGTACATTGGTCATTGGACACTTAAATCAAACTTTCTTTTAAGTTTCAAGTAAATGGCTCTTCCCAATTTGGCGGGGGAATTGTCATTATTAATAATTTATATATAGTGAAGGTTGCACCTTCGATTTGCACCATCGTGGTTGTAACCTCTAATTTATATTTTATATATTCTATCCGTCCCAAAATAAGGTGTGATATTGAATCAATCACAAGACTTCGATTAATGTTCCACACAAAGCTTTCCAATTTATTCAAAAATATTAACAGTAATAATGCAACAACCGGGCATATTACAGAGCATCCTCAACTTGATCTTTTTAAACTAAAAGAACACAATGATACATCATTGAAAGGACCTCATTTTCCACTGGGAAAAGAAACGCACGCTAAGCCGTTGCTGGAAATCTGTCCACTCCTGCTACCTTCTGACAATACAACCCTGCACAGCACCAGTACTTCGCTAACTGCTCCTGTACAGACTACACATACTGGGCCTGACTACATTACTGGGATCTGCATAACTAAGACTAAAGCTGCTTCGGCACTTCCATCAAATAATATTGACTCCTCCAAGGCCGGGCCTCCATCATACCTTAACTTCAGGAAGCACTTTCAGAAGAACCGTGATCATCTTTATCTGAGTTGAGATTGATGTTGGAGTCTGGCTTATCACCTGATTTCCTTTCGCGCTGCTGATTTTCACCTTTTTTGGCATTGAGAAAACGGCCCCCAGTTCCCCTAGCTCGTCTCAGCGCATGTAAGTGCCGCGATTCATGCAAGTAAGGCTGCAAGATAGGTTTTGTAATGAGCTGGGCTAAACACAAAATAAATAATTAAATAAATAATATTGCAACGTGACACGGAATCTACTTCTCCTTAAATGCAGGTATCCTGTGTCAATGAGTAAATTTACAAAAACTTCAAACTTTTCTAATAAACCTATAAAGGGCACTAATTATATTTAAATTCATGCAGACACAAAGCAATCGAAAATGTTGAGCAGAAAATATCTATCCACCCCGCATCAAGACAAGAAGCGAGACTGCCCTGTCATAGGACCAACACCCCTCTGTATATAACTTCCAAACAATGCTGCCAAGCTAGCGACGAGTTCCAATTTTTAGCATGTGTTCTCATCAATCCTAACTGGACTAATGTTGTGCTGCAGAGTAACATGACTACACGGGCAGGAACTTCTTTCTCTATAAGAAGGTTATTATGACCAAGACAGAGAAGATCGTGAGGATCACGACAATTGGTGGTCTTAAACCATTCTTAAGGTGAGGAAGTCCATGCAAAAAATAGTTTCAGTGGCTTGGCATGATCTATGCAAAGCACTTAGCTATCTATGTGTATGAAGAGGTGGGTGGGTGGGGGAGTGGGGCCTTCAGTCTTAAGGCAGTCTTAAAGAGCTCATTACTGTTGAAGTTAACTTGGGGGATCCACTTTGAAACAACCGGCAAGCTCCTGGAAAAAATAGGTAATTGAATACTAACATCAAATCATTTTGGAACCTAAATGCTAACAGAACTACACCTTGGCCAAAAAGGAAACTTCTCAAACTAAACCATGGAATTCACTTGCGTCAATGTTTCAGAGATTGCCCTTGAGTGCAATGGTTCATGAAAACCATTTTCTTCAGAGCCACACTAAGCGAAAGAGCATGAAAATGATCCTTACTACTTCCTAACATATGGAAAATCCTTGAACAAAACATGAATTCATCACTTGGCTGACTTGTGGACAGAGATTAAAAACAAAGCCAAAACAACCAAATGATTCTACCATTCTCAAATGTCTCGTAATTTACGTAGATTAAGCATTGCTGTCCTTTGAGTGCCTGTTCACTACACATATCACCACTAAAGGCATAACTTTACTTAGCATTATTACCTCATCTTACTGATCACGCTTTTCAGAGAGGTGAAGCTATGGTTCAAGTTGTGCGAGAAATTGTATAACTATAGTAGGTTATGTTGTGTATTATATCTAGATGAAGAGGCAAGTAATCATGCCCTCTTAAGACCCCATACCATTTTGGAGGTGTAGTAATGAGGAATCTCTCTTTCTCAATGAAGCTCAAATTAAAATTTAAAGCCACGGCTAAGAACATATCAAGGTGCAACATGAAAATCTCCTGTACTTAATTGAGGGCTCACCTAGCTTTTGCTATTCCAATTCAAAATCCTTATGCATAGCTTGCAGCATCTATAGAGTTCTATTCGAGGACTTAGTGACTTGATGACTGAGAATTGTGGATGAAATTGACCCACATGGAATGAAAAGAAAATTCATCCAGAAAAGGTATCAAACTATCAGATGACTAAGAGAGTACTTTCTTCAGAGGACATCGCACCCACATGCCTCCACAAAGGAAAATGCATGCTGCTCTATGAATGTCATATGCAAGTCGCATCACATAAAGTTGGGAGCTGCCACCTAGGACATGAATGAAGTAAGATCTTATTTATGCTCTCTTCAAACGTCTAGATATCATGCCACATATGGCAGCCATAAAAGGCTTCAACCCAGAGCAGCAAAAGTTCGGGAAAAACGTATTTTCTAGTCTTGAATTGAACTATCTTCCACCATACATATTGCTTATAAAAATCATGTTCTGCTAAAAACTTATCTGCCATTAAAAGATACATGCTTAAACCAGAAGAAGAAAAAGGAATTGATAATCACCAGAAACAGATATCCATGGCCAAAATATCTCATCGTGTTTTGAAAAGTGGTTAAAGGAGCTCACAACTTTCCACATCTTAGGGGACAAGACACTTCATCTTCAGATATGAGATCAAACAACATTCTTATCTATTCGTGTCTTCTAAGAGTAAATCTTTGATGTTTCCTTTTCACTCCATTTTACACCTAGACAGCTGCTATTGAACTCTAGTTCAACAGAACTTATACCTACAGATGACGCAAACTCTTACCTGAAACTCAAAGCTACTGATATCTCCTATCACACGATAGGTATCTAAATTGGCCTTCAGTGTAGTACTCAAGATGGGTCGTACTACTTAAACAGCCTCTGTGTATAACAGGGGTAAGGCTACATACATCTTGACCACCCAGACCCCAACTCGAATACACTGGGTATGTTGTTGTTGTTGTACAACTCAAGATATACAGTTACTTGCATAAATATTCTTACTTAACCAGGCCTTGAACCTCATTTCAGATTTCAAAGCAAGAATTTAAAATTTGTTTGCCGCATTCAATGATTTAGTGGACAACTGGTCATTAGCCAAGTGTCAATTTCGAAAAAATTGCATTGGCAATACGTGGTACTACTACCACTGCATGCTTATAGAGTAGGAAAACCCCAACGAACTTATTCTCTATTAGCCCTTTATACTGTATGATGATCATATTTCTCCATCAGATTTTATCAAAATAAGTTCAAATTAAATAGATCCTGTATTGAATCACTGGTTTTTCACCTAAAAATTTTGTGTTTACCATTAGCAATAAACCTAATCTACGTATTAGCTACAAAGGGCCCAGAATTTCTAGAAAGTTACGCGAATCTCTGGCATCAACTAATTTTCCGAATCCAGCATCTGATCATACCTTTCTAGATTTCACAGCTTTATTTTCTGATTCAGCTTTAGCACGAGATTGCCGGCGCCTCAATATGCCGTGATATTGTTTTGCGTTAACAAATACAGGCTCCTCGACTGCATCAGATGGTAAAGGAACGCCAGCTTGCTGAATTCCCATCAACTGAAGGTGGACCTGGAAGAAGCCAGTAGTTGAAATATTCTCTATTTTCCCATCAATTATTACTGAGATCTGGATGCCATAAATGATTTACGTTTGAAAAAATATGCAACGGCGAAAGATAAAGGAATACCATTGGTTGCGCAGGATATGGTTGTGGAGGATATGGCTGTGAATCATAGGGAGCAAAGATGCTTCTGTAGTAAGGGTCTGGATAAGGGTAGGTAGTCTGTGCCTGTGGCAAGGACGTTCCCGGTCAGAATAATGACTACGAGGAAAACAATGCAATTAATTTTTTATAACAAGAATATGATGATGGCACATCAGCCATCGTTGCATACATATAGAACTAAGACATATTCTTCAACTGACTAGCAACTATCCAACTTCATTATCAATCGATCACTATAACTTTCTAATGCCGTTACACATCAAAAGTGTACCATAAAGATTTCACAAATAGAACTTGAAAGGAACTCTGAAGAGAACCAGACAGCAGTGCTAAGCTAGAGTTGAAGCTAAAAGTGTGGAAGCTTAGAAAGGTACAACTCAAGTTTTCACAAATGCATCATAAGAGAGCAAGCATTCTTTGAGAACAATAGATACAAACAGAAACTGCTTATCCAAAACCACACTTAGTAATCTAATCTCAGAACAAAAAGCAGCTTAGCCCACAAAATGGAGAGACAGGAAAAGTTGCTTTACCAAGGAGGGCATAAAAGAGAAGTACAAGAAGCAAATAGGTAACAAACAACAGTACCTCTACTATTAACCTCAATGACTCAGTAATTAATTGTCACAAAGAGTACTCAAGAGAAATAGTAACTACAACAAGCAGTTAAAAGAGTTTGATGAAGACTTGAGGGATCCCCATAGTAATTTCAGATGCCAGTTACGAATAGGTCTCTAACAACTGTTGAAACCTTTCATACTTAAAAAATAAATTAATTAAAAAATAAATTTTAAAAAAAACACCTTTTATCACCTACGAAATTACTAAATAACCTGGTTGAGGACCTTTATTCTGCTTTTCTTGGGGTTCATATCCATGAGGGACCTTATAATGCACCAATAAGTAGAGTGATTTGTAGAATTTAAGTTTTCTTTTAATCTCAATTAGCACAGCACAAGCAGTTTCATTTCATTTGTGTCATAAGGCAATAAGAAACCTTATGGCATAAGAGACTAATGGTAGCTTAACTAGCGTTTATCTTCTGTAGAAAATCACTATAATATCAAAAGCAAAAGCAATATCAGGTCCAGCACACTCACGTGAGCGTGCATTTCTCCTACTTTCAACCATAAATCATGATCCAGTGCGAAAGTTAACCAAATATCACCTAGTACCAAGAAATCTAAGAGAAAATCTAGAATTCATGAGCAACTAGTGATGGAAAATAAAAATATTTACAACCTCAAACATGATATAGTGCAAAAGTCAACCAAATAAAACCTGGTAGAGTATATATGCAGTCAAACTTCAGGAGCAACTTTGTGAAGCAGAAGAAAATGATCTACAACAATTTCTAGTCCATTGACAAGAGTACATAAATCGATATCAACCTGCTCTCTCATTTTGTTGGAAAATGATGACACGATGAAAGACTGGGAGAAGATAGCAATCATAGTATGCAAATCAAATCCATTCAAAGAATATTAGAGCACAGGGAAAAACTATCAGCTTCCGAATGTTCCATCCTTAATCAGTTTTTCATTAACAAGATGTAATAGTTTGGGTGTACTAAACCTGCTGTTTAGTCAGGCTTGTAAATGGTGTTATTTGGTAATTGGTGTGATTAATATATTTCACAAAAAGAGGGGGAAAAAAAAATTAAGAGCAACCAGATCCAAAGCAAGCTATGAAAAGAAAGATGAATGTGATTAGAGCAAATCTTTCTTCAGTTGATTGAAAATGAAAACTAAAAACATATAACGTGGCCCCCAAATATATAATATCAAGAATTTCATAAAATTTCCTAAATTCCAGGGGGGGAACGTACTCATGGCGTGGACAGGGTAATAATGACACAATAGTTCGAATATGTAACGGAAACTCACTTAAAAAAATTACATACAACTTTATAATTAACAAAATATGTTGCAAAAACAAAAAGGCTACACATCATTAACGCATCCCTCTCTCAACCTGTCATTACAAACATTTCACTTACAAGGTAAAAGTGACAAACTGCTACAATTGTTTCACAAATTGGAGGTTCAAAGGGGAGAGAGAGAGAAGGGAACAAGACAGACAATACAAAGAAGATATCTTCAACTCAAAAAAACAACTCCCAACATAATTGCAAAAAAGAACGGCTAAACTTGAATCAACATCAGAGAAGAAATTACCACCAGCTCATCAACTTTCAAAATCAGTATTTTGGCAAAACCATTAAATTTTGATTAAACAATTTTCACATGAAGATACTCATCAGTCACAGTTTTAGCCAAATGTACATGAGATGATGAAATAACTTCCACAACTTTACCATAGCATTTCCAGCACCAAGTGCTGGAGGCACAACATATGGCATATTGGGGGTAGTCATGACGGGATGTGACATTCCAGTCGCCTGACAAGAAGACTGGAGCTGTGGTTCTGAATGATTTTGTTGCTCATCTGAGTCACCATTATCTGGAAAGAAACATGCTTTCAGTAAATCATCTTAAAAAATGGAAATTATCATAAAATATACTTTTGACTTATATGCGAAAAATCGACAGTGAGATCGTCTAAAGTAAGAGAAGACGAAGACAAGCAGAAAAGTGACCAAAAGAAAGACCAATTAAGGAAAAACATATGACCAGTAAGATCTTCTAACTACGAATGCAATCTACCCATCTTGAAATAAAACAAAAACACAAATTAAGGAAAAACATATGACCATAAAATCAACAAAAAAAATAGCAATAGCCTAACATAGGTCTTACAAATGTTTAACCCACAGTTGTTTTGGTACTTACACTCAAACATCTTCAGATAAACAACTTACCGCGCCATAAAGCATGTTCATTCAATCAGTTATGTTTATTACTGAGTTAACCAAAAGGCCATCGAAATCATTCACATGTATCTATCACAAAAAGTCAATCTTAAAAATAGGTACCTGAGAGACTATGAACAGAGGAGGTCATAATGGTGTCAGCTGTACCAAAACACCCAGAATTAAGTATCTGCAGGGAGAGAATACACCCAAACAACATCATCAGCACATGAAAACAAACAGGTTTTCCAAAAAGAAAGGTTATAACAAACTCTCGACCAAAACTCATAAACTCTGAGACTTACAGGAATTCTAACACCGAAAGAGAAACTTAACCCGCGTGCCATTGACAACCAATCAACAAAATCGGAAGCACAGATTTTCATGAACCGAACTCCTCATGTAGACTCAACACACACTAGGAATGCATAATTCCACTGATTCAATGCGAAAAGACGCATACATCTCCTCAAAACTAGACCATTCAAAGAGCACAAATTCAGATACTCCCTAAATTCATGGCTGTTCACAAATTGAAACCGCGTTTCACTAAGCTAGAGACATTGGTGGTTCAATTCATATCAAATCGGAAAAAATCACCACACAAAAATTAACCCATAAAAAAATAAAAATAACAAATAAAATACGGAGAACTGCGAATTGGGATGGAAAATTCAAATTCTTGATTACAGGCGTAAGAAAGCAAACCAATCCGGTATCAAATTTCAAACAATCAAGTAACAATCTTCAGGCATTACACGAAATTAGGGCTTGAAATTGGGTAAAAATTCTCGTACCTCTCGGAGCAATTTACGACCGCAAATACCTTGAACTGTGATGCTATTTTTTCCCCCTTTGTTTTTCGGTTTTTTTTTTTCTTTCTTTTCTGTTTTCCTTTTTCTCTCTCTATGATGTGTGTAGTAAGTAGCAACTGTGTGATTGTGTGTGTGGAGAAAGAGAAACTCAGATGAATTTTTTTTTGTTTTTGTTTTGGTCCTATGTTTTCTTGAGGTATTTTATACTCCGACAACGCATGAAATTTCACTGCCAGAGTTAAAAAAACCATACAGATCCCCCTTTTTTTACCATTTTTAGTTAAGTCTTTTTATTTACCTCACTTCTGAAACTGATGAAAAAGTACAGTCTCGGTATATTTTGTTGTACACTTCTGTCTGGCAATCGCCTGGTGGGCCCACCAGCTAAGCCATGGGGAAACTGAACCATACACCTGTCACACCCTGACCTCTCTAAATCCTGACCCGAAAAAATTATTTCTATACTCTCTTTCTTAAAATTATTGTCCAATAATTTTTACAATTATTAGTACAATTTAAAATAAAAAATAAAATACAAACTAAAAAATAATTTTAGAATTCATGGAATATTCACTTTTATTTTTTTCCTCTAATCTCATTGAAAATATTTTTTCTAAAAAAAATCATTGAGAAATAAGTAGAAATAGACATTGTTATTTTTTTATTATTAAGAACAAAGATACATAATTCACATACATTAATTTTATACCAAAACAATACTACGGTTTGATGCCTTATTTATTTATATATACTTTTCATCCATAACTTGTTTTCTCAAGATAAAAGTGCGGCTTCAAGAATTATTAATTTCCATCTTAAGAATCCACTTGTACCTTGATGATTAAGGCGTCATACCTTTAATCGTGTGATTAAGGGTTCAATTTCTACGGCAGACGCAAAAATCAAACAGTTGAAGGAGAAAATATGTTGCTAACCAAAAACTAATTCAACTCCCTCTACTATTCTTTTCTCTCCCCTCTCACTAAACAATCCCCCTCCCCTACGGAAAATTCCTCCTCCCCCAACCTCCATTAACGGCGGTTGGGGGTGTCTTGTTTTATTTTCTTCTTTTTTACTTTTATTTGCATTCTCCTTTCATCCCCCGCCCCTTTTCTTTAATTCGGTCGGCCTCCAGTCTCCGCCTCCATTTGCCGCCTCTGCCGCACCGCTGCACCCTCAGCCACCCTTGATCCACCCTTTACCGCCCTTGATCGATCCACAAGATGTCGCCCTCGATAGATCCAGTCGCTGCCGTCCCTCTGATGCCCGCCGTCCTCTGCCGCACCGCTGCACCCTTGGCTGCCTTCGATCGATCTACCTACTGCCGCCTTCGATTCACCCCCTACCGTCCTTTGCCAATCCGCTGCTGCCGCCCTCTACCTCTGCCGCTCTGCTGCCGGCTCATGCTGCCCTTTGGCTTTATTATTATTGTATTTTAATTCAATCAAGTGGGATAGTCCACCCTCAGTATAGATCTCGGATTACTTCTTTACTGAGTGAATTTAGTGCGTTAACGGAACCGAGTCCGTTGGTCGAGTCCAAATTTGATGTGTGTTGTTCGTCGTTAATGATGACAAATTTGTGCTTCAGTCTGCGGATTAGTGATATATTCGAGTTCAAACTTTTGTTCTGTTCCGTGATTTGTCCGACAATAGGTTTATGTCATTATAGGTTTGTCAACCTTTTTGGCAGTTGTATTGGTCTAGTCACTGGTGCAGTGACTAGTACCGTGAGTACGTCATTAGGACGGTTCGAATACGTCATTTTGGACGATCTGTTCTTGTATCAAATGGTGTTGGATCTTTTCTAGTAATATGAATGGAGTTTGTTATGCTTATATTATACCTATTTATTACATCCCTAATTTGTGATTTTTGCAATATATTTTGAGTACAAATATGCTATTTATGTGATTTTATCTTTAATTGTAGGAATTGTACTCCAATGAAGAATTGTTGAAGTTTTGAGCTAAAATCGAATTAAAAGCAACTCAATGAGAAAGAATTGAATATTGGAGCAATTGATGGGGAAGAAATTAATGAGTTTAGAGAATTGGAGGGCCAATGATGCAATTTTGGAATGTTTAATTTAGTTTTTGGAAATTGGCCGAAGGTTACGATGAATGTGCGGCCGATTTGGGATTGGAATTGGATAAGAATTTTAATCCCGATATTATTTGGGAAACAAGTTTTCTTGCTCTTCAAGAAATAGGGTTTAGCTGGAAGCCTATAAAAGGAGGATTAGGGATTTATTTTTACAACAGAACTTGACCGAAAACTGGCCGAAAACCTTACGGCTGCAAAACACTTCCACCGCCGCTCCACCTCTCCTCCATCACCGCCAAACTCCCTCCTCTCCCAGCCGGCAGCATCATCACCATCGACCGCCATCATCACCTTCTTCCTCTTCTCCGCCTTCCTCTTCACCGCCGCGCAGCACCACCACCGAAGCCCGCAACACCTTTCTTCCTCTTCACCTTCGTCCACGCACCACCTCCACTGCACCAGCCATAGTTCACCGCCGCCGGCCGCCACCTTGGCTCCATCATCTCTGTCTACGCCACACCAGCCAATCATCATCTTCAAGCTTCAATCTTCCACCAACCGAGAAGAAGGAGAAGCGAAAACAAGGAAGCCGTCCGGGAGTTTTTTCGGTTTTTGGCGTCTTCCGGGTATCGAAGTTTTAATTATTTAATTTATTTATTTTTATTATATCTCTAAATATTATTGAATTATTTTTAATAATGTTTAGTGGCTAAATTCTTTTAATCTAGGGCTTGGGTGTAGCCACCGAATTTATTTATTTTATTTACTTCATTATTATTTGATTTTTCTATTAATTAATATTTGTTATTCTTGTTTTAATTCGTGTAAGTAATTGGTCACTATTTGCATGTCTAAAGATATTAATCGAAGTAGCGAGAGTGGAAGATTAATATTAGTTCGTAAGAATAATAAACTTAGGTTATAAGCTACGAGAGTAAGATTATAACCTTTGCAATATTTGATTTTTAATGGTCTTAATGTGCTTTTGTTAATCCTTATAGTCACGAGAGTAGTCATAGGGTTAATATAAGTAAGAGAATTATAACACGAGAGTGTATAGTTCTTAATTAGGTGAATCGTTGTGAGATTAATCGAGGTTAAAAGTCAGATATTTGTGAATTGAACTAACTCAAATATTCGGTAGGTGAACCCAATGTCCTAGGTTTTCTTTGTCTGATTATTCGAATTAATATTATTTTCTTTTATTTTATTTATTTATTTTAGTTTTAAATTTTATAAATCTGAGATTATCATTTATCTAGATAATAATAGGAGTAATTTATACCTGGTAATTAGTATTCCTTCTCTGTGGGATCGATCCTGCTTTCTGCTTTACTACTAGTAATTGTATTAAGTAGGTAATTAATATTTGACTAGTGTGACGATGGCTTGTCATTTCCCTCAAAAAAAAATTTAAGGTGGCAGAAAACATGTCAACATTGGCCATGGAGGACTACCAGAATAGCTCAATATTTACAAATCTATCCGAATGAAGGAGGTTTTAAATTTTATATTTTTAATAAATTATTCCAAAAATACCAAAAAAAAAATTACTACTCAAAACTATAAGTTTCAGATGTTATTATATGATACCACAAAATTAAATAGTATTTCTATTATTTTTATGTTAGGTTTCGTGAAAAAGTTAATGGACAACTCTTTGCAGGTGAGATGCACGATCAAACGGTATTGTATGCCCATGTAAAATATTATTTTTTGTGAATCCATAAACAAATCATGTGATATGGAATACTCGCGGCAAATTTATGATGAACGCATAATACCCTTCGGTCAGCTCACGTGAATTTTACGTGTAAAAAAAATAAAACAATATTAACCATTAGATTTTTCACGAAATTTTAAAGGAAAAGTGAATCTAAACGGTATTTAAATTTGTGTGTTATATAAATTTTAGTTCTTAATGAATAAATTAAGCAAATTTTGTTACTTTTATAATTATTATTGTATTTTTTTTTAGTTTTTTTCTATATTTAAAAGGCCTTAATTTCAATATTCGTTTTAGGCCTCTGAAAACATCTAGTCGCCCTTGCTTTCCATATCCCCCTAGAAATTCATTTTGGCAGGGGATTGAGGGGAGGTGGCGGGGGATAGAATGGCGGTGGGGAAGGTGGGTTAAAAGGCGGTGGGGGAGGTGGGTTAAAAGGCGGTGGAAGAAATGGGGGCGGGGGTAGTAGCGCGCAGGGTACATGTACACACGTAACAGCTCTTGGAGGAAAAATGATTTTGGTTAAATTCTTTCACGATTTTTTTTTTCTTTTTGGAACAATCAACTTAATATGCATTGATATCAAACGAAACATTATAGAGAATATATATGCCATCATTCCTTGCTAACAGTCTCGCTAATCACTATATTATGATTCTTTTTAATTTTTTTTTCGTTTCAATTTCTTCGTGGTTTCCGCTATCTGATCTCTCCCTTTCACGATTGTATGAATGTTTTAATTAGATAAAGAAGATATATTCTATCATTCCTAGCTAACAGTCTCGCTAATCACTATATCATGATTTTTTTTATTTCTTTCTTTTTTTCCTTTCAATTTCCTTTCATTTCCCATCATTCTTTAACTTTGCCTTTGTGAGATCATGTAATTCATCTTCAGATAAACGCTAGATTCAGTCCACTTTCAACCCATTTGTTTTAAGTACTACATGTTTTGCAATGACAATGGAAATATTTATTTTACACCATGCTTCATCAAGCTAAGAACTAGTGTTCTACCAGTCATTATTCAAGAGGACACATCGAGCAAGAGACGCACATGAGTAAAGTCTCCCCCTAGTAGTACTACTCCAGCTCTACCCCCGTTGTAATAGTCTAAGTACCTCTAATGCACCAATAGGTGCGGTTTAAAAAAAGCTTCCATCCTCAAGTTCTAAGCTATTATTTAAATTGGAAAAAAATATACACATAGGTAAATTGAATAAAAAACGACAATTTTAATTAAATTTTAATAAAAATTTACAATTTTTTTTGGCTAATTTGCCTTTTCTTTTTCTTGAGTTCCTCGCTTGGTCAATTCATACTGTACCAATTTGAAAGACATGCTATCCTTAATTTTTTCAAATGTCATAGGTATGATATCCCCAACCCCATGCTAACATGTCAAGCTACATGTGGAAATGTCCCACATCGATGGTGGGTGTGGGGAATGATTAACTTCTAAGTTGTAGCTGCATGGTTTACTAATAATTTGGGTTAAC